AAATGTTGAAGTGAAATGCATCAATCTGGTGCACTTTGAGCACAACATGAATTTATGGATACAGCTCTCAACACTCAGATGAAAGGGAGCTGTATACTTTTCAAGAAACAAACATCTTTGGAATATGATCACAACCAATAATAAATCATTTAAACTTGTTTATTCTTATCTTGTGTTACCTAGTTAGCATTATTTATTTTTATTTATGCATATTTTACTAATCACTCCCCTTTTAAACTGTTTTTGTACTGTCCTGCTATTGTACACATTGGAATGATTTCTTACTTTATCTATATTAAATAGATAAAGGGGTGCACTCCCACACACAGGTTGTGTGCTCCTCCGTGGCGATGACGGCTTGCGTTAAAAAATAATAATAAACATATTTGTAATGTGGGGGGACACAAACGGGATTTCGAAAAGAGCAGGGGACATGTCCCCCCTGTCCCCAGTGGAGATTACGCCATGCGTGTGTGTGCGTCAAGTGCAATAAATAAATATGCAAGTTGCAACACACACAGTACAATTCTGCCCCTCATGTGGTGTATAGGCTGGCATGATGGGCTGTTCAATGGGGCTGATGTGTTGTGTAGATTCTGCCAGAAGGAACATCAGCGGGGAGGTGCCACATTGCTTTTCTTCCCGACTGCAACGCTGGTCCCGCAAATCAAGCAAGAACGTGATTGGTCGATATTCATTGTGGGGGTGGGGGGAGGAGGGGTGTTAGATAGATATAGAGTTGTAGTAAGTAGATAGAGTTCGCTATGATTTAGGTTTCGTTTATGCATGGGGGAGATTCTTTTAATTACATTTCCTTTTTTGTTTTGTGTATTTTATACATTTTGGATTTGCTTGGTGAGCTATTTTTAGAACGTGCCCGGCGGGCGCCTCATGTTGCCCCTGCGGGCGACTGAGTGCCCGCGGGCATCGTGTTGGCTACCCCTGATCTAAAGTGTAAAACAATCTTCAACACAGACCAAATTAGTGCCCTTGGACAACAAAATATATGGTGGGGCAAAGAAACGATCAATTAAATTGAGAGAGTGGGAGACTAAAAATGATTACTATGATAAATATTCAAACTATTTACAAAACTATTTACAGAAGCTCCTGTTGAACCATTTTACAAATATTTACAAACAACTATTTACAAAAAAGCAATACTATTTACAAAAAAGGGTTAAGGTAAGCAACTATTTACAAAAAAGCAATACTATTTACAAAAAAGCAATACAGAACTCTCGGGCACCCTAACCATTTTGAAAAAAACAAAAAGGTTCCTTTGTGAAAGGGACATCCTCTTCATCTGTTTCCTCTCTAGGGCTCTGGTAGCACCCATAGAGTCCAGTAGAGGGCGGAGCCTCTGTGAAATATAACCTCTTAATTCGGATTAAATTGAGCTGGATGAATTTTGCTGTCGCACTGGTGTTTATTGCGAGTTCATGTTTGTTTGTCTAATTGTTTGTACAGTATGGGGGGGTCTATATTGGTTTGTCTACCCGCCGTCTTGTGTAACAACTAATTATGAATCAGTCCATAGCCAGGGTAAAATGAACTAAACTTTAGTTATCTCACCAAAAGTAAATGACTTGAGAAAAACAAATAATATAAAGATGTAAAGCAAAATTCTGGTAGTATAAATGTGCTGCAAAATAAAAATAAATAGCAAAAGAGTGTTTTTTATGACCTGCATCTGAGTGTGCAAAGGAACATTTAAACAAGAAGCACACTGTTCAGGGTGTGCGCTGTAGGTGTAAGAAGAAAATAAGATGATATTGCTTTAAGAATACATTTTAAATTGTATTGCTGGTATGTTAAGATATCTTTGTGACCTTGTATAAACCCCATGCCCCGTCTTACACCCTGAGACCCTCAGAGGCATCATTGCTGGTCCTAAATACCTGCCTGAGGAGATCAGGGTTGCAAAAAAAAATCTGTCTGCTCAATTAGGTCAATGTTGTATTATTTGTTTCATTTATTCTTAATCTATGTATTGTATGGTAATAATGAATAAAAAAACGTAATGTATTGAACACATTCTGTTCTGTCCTTGATGTGTGTTTTTGGTGTATATCTGTCGTATATGTGTTTTCTAGGCTGTGTTTTGGCACCACCTTGTGGTGGTTGGTTGACACTGCTGCCCCAAGTGGTTTATTCGATTCCTGTTGCTAGGAGAACGAACTTGTTTGTTTCCGAGTGTGCTCCACGTGTAGCTTGGGTTGTTTCATGAACGGACGTCTGCTCACCACATGGGCTGTGCTTCGTATTTCCCGCTGGTTCACGCATCGTCTTTTCATCAAGTAAAGAGACTTCAGTAAAACTGACAACTGCGCTGGAGTTCTTTCTTTCAAACGGTTTAACTGGATGGATAGCTAGCTCAGTGCTAGTGAGACCCTCACAGTGAAAAGACGGCATTACAGCCAGCTCCGGGGACGGAGACAGGCTTTCTATGGAGTGACACCAAGAGCTAAGTGGCTAACTCAGTGCATATGTACAGCCTTCACGCCAGCTTATCTCTTCATCCACGTTATTAAATTCACAACCCAGCCATTATGGAAGAAAATGACAACATGGATCAAATAAGTGTAAACGCACACTCTGTGCACACACGTGCGTCACGCTCATCATCCAGCTCAAAGGCTAATTTAGCACTGGCTATGGTTATGGCAAGGGCTGAAGCAGCACAGGCTAGAACATCACACTCTAAAGTGGGAAATTGAGCTAAAAGTTGAGCAAGCACGCATTCAAGTTACTCTTGATGCATTAAAGCAGTGGTTCTCAAAGTGGGGGGCGCAGAGGCATGACAGGGGGGGGGGGGGGGGACGCGAGAGACCAGGAGGAAAAATGGTTATTAAAAAAAAAAAAAGATTTAAAAATCATGTTTTGAAAAAGTTTTGATTCGAAAATAATATGATACAGTACTATTACGTCTGGGTCTCTGTGTTTCATTAAAGCTCGGCTCTGTGTGTGTGTGTGTGTGTGTGTGTGTGTGTGTGTGTGTGTGTGTGTGTGTGTGTGTGTGTGTGTGTGTGTGTGTGTGTGTGTGTGTGTGTGTGTGTGTGTGTGTGTGTGGAACGAGACATTTTGTGTAAGCGAGCGAGAGAGAGATAGCGCACCGGTACCGGAGATCGTTGATGTTAGCTTCTGGTGCTAGCAAGCTACGCTAACGGATATAAGGAGTTTTTTTAACAACAAAGTGGAGGAGAGTCCTCTCCTGTCAGACTGAGAGGCTCAGTGAACTAAAGGACTCTCAGTGTTATCTCAGTGGGTCTCAAACATTTTGGTCACCATTAATGTAAACAATTATTTCCGAGGCACACGTTTATATGATCATTATAATTATAAAAAAATAAGAGAATACATTAAAAACAGGTATGAAATACCTGTTTTTAATAACTGTCATATAATACCAGATATGACAGTAAAAAAAGAATAACGTTTAAAAGGGGAGTGATTTGTAAAATATCCATAAAGAAAAAGTAAATCTGTTTACAGTTCTGTGTTGAGAGAGGTATCCATAGATCTCTTAATTTTGCTCTCAAAGTGCACCAGATTGATGCTTTTAACTTCAATATTTAAAAATCTTCTCGGGGGAGCTTGCCCCCGGACCCCCTATGTGAGGTCCACACACCACCTATAAAAATAGCACTTTACCCCTGCTTACACCTATATGCCGTGAGCTGATTATCGAGCCTTCATTGTAACAGTACACTGTGTGTGTGCATGGGGATTGTTGCAGTAGAAAATTCTACTGTGGCGCCCGGTACATTAATGGGAAACCCTAAATGTTTGAGCACCCCCACAGCACCCCCAAAATAAATCTTTGGCGCCGCCACTGAGCCTGACTATTTGTGTTGGGGGGGCCCGACTTTTTTTTTTCTCCAAAGGGGGGGCCTGACAGAAAAAGTTTGAGAACCACTGCATTAAAGGAAGAAAAAGAGAAAGATGCTGCCATAGCTGAAGTACATTTTTTGCAGGCTGGTTTACTAGAGCTTGATGTTGAAGAGGCCAGCAGAGGCTCTAATCCAGTGTCTCAACACTTTAAGTACCAGCGCACCGCTGCTTATGTGAAAGAGCAAACCAGCAGCATAGGTGGATCGCCTAGCAAAATTAGTGACATTGTTGCCCCCATAGGCCCACACCTAAATGAACCATCACAGCATAGTAAAGGAGAGGATGTTAAGCCTACACAGTCCTGCTCACTTAAAGGCCTTGCTCAAACACAAGCTGCTGTTTCTACCCAAACTACGCCTCACCACACACTAAAGGCTCCTCGACCTGGTACACCAGCATCGCCGTGGACTCTCAATAAGCAGTCTCCATTCTCTGCTTATCAGCCTAACCAAGGTACGCCCTATGAAGCCAGTTACCACAACCCTCAAACCACTAACGATCTGGCTAAATATCTTGCCCGCAGTAACATCAGGCCTCACAACATTCGACGATCAACCAATGAATTATTGAGCTTGGAAAACGTCCTTCCTAAGTGCTATTGCTGGTCTGGATCTGTCTGTTGGAGAATAACTCGACCTGCTCTGCAAATATCTGGGAAAAGAGTCATCAGATCAGGTGAGGAGAATCAAGGCCGTCAACATCACCCTGACGCTGGACTAATGATGGCCTGGGAGAGGCTTGAGGAAATATACGGCTCACTTGAGGTTATTGAAAAGGCTCTCTTTGACAAGCTGGAAAGCTTCCCCATACTGACCAACAAAGACCCAAAACGACTCAGAGAGTTAGCAGACCTGCTGTTAGAGCTTGAGGCTGCTAAGAAAGATGGCTCCCTCCCAGGTCTGTCATATTTGGATACTTCCAGAGGGGTTAAGCCCATCATCGAAAAACTCCCATACAACATCCAAGAAAAGTGGATATCTTATGGTTCAAGATACAAAGGTGATCATCATGCCAGTTTCCCAGCTTTCTGTCTTTGCAGACTTTGTTCGTACAGTGGTAAAAGCTCGTACTGATCCCAGCTTCAACCTCTCCACGACAGTTCCTATGGAGAAAAAGAGTACGTGGGAGAAATCCACGAAGATGCCTGTATCTGTTCACAAGACACAAGTGTCGTCTACTGACAGATATGAAAGCAGAGAGGATAAGAAGCTGACAGACCCAAACAACCATTGTCCTCTACATAAGAAACCACACCCTCTGAAGAAATGCAGAAGCTTTAGAGAAAAGAGGAGCGCAAACAGCTCTTAAAGGAACATTCCTTCTGCTTCCGGTGTTGCTCCTCTACTGGTCATCTCGCCAGAAACTGCACGGCTGAGGTGAAATGTATAGAATGTGGGAGCACGGGTCACGTGTCAGCACTACACCCAAGAGCAGCAGTCTGGAAACCTAAGCCCTCTCCTCCCTCTTCAGAGCACGTCGGGGAGGAAGACAAAGCAGACCATCAGGTCACATCAAGGTGCACACAAGTGTGTGGTGAAGGTGCCTTGTAAGTGTGTATCCAGCTGGTCGCTCGGAAGAGGCCAAGAAAATGTATGCAATACTGGACGAGCAGAGTAATTGTTCCCTGGCACGCTCTGAGTTCTTCAACATTTTCAAAATCACAGGGCCTTCCTTCCCTTACACACTGGAAACATGCTCTGGACTAACTCAGACAACAGGGAGAAGAGCTAGTGGGTTCATAGTGGAGTCAGCAGACAAAAAGCTAAGCTTTCCTTTGCCTACACTTTTAGAGTGCAACCAAGTTCCCAACAACCGCTCCGAAGTCCCTACGTCAAATGCAGCTCATCACTATGCTCACCTGAAGTGCATCGCCGACGAAATACCACCTCTCGATCCTAACGCTGACATACTCCTCTTGCTGGGCAGAGACATTCTTAGGGTCCACAAGGTCCGTGAGCAGATAAGTGGTCCAGACAATGCACCGTTCGCCCAAAGGCTGGACCTGGGATGGGTTGTCGTTGGTGACGTGTGTCTATAGCAGGTTCTCACAAACCACTAGAGGTGAACAGTTACAAGACGTCTATCTTGGAGAATGGTCGTACTAGCCATCTGCAGCCATGCAACAACCAAATCAAGGTAAGATACATCTTCAATCAAGCCCCTGACTACACACATCATCCAGCACCAGTGTTGGGCAAGTTACTTTGAAAAAGTAACTAGTAATAGTTACTGCTCTCAAAAAAGTAACTAGTACAAGTTACTTTACTTTAAAAATAATAACAATACAAATACAAGTGTTTGTGTTGTTCTGTGGCACAGTAAGAGAAAAGACAACTCCCATCATTGTAGCAATTATCATTATGAAATGTAGTGGAACAATAAAACACAAAAGATATGTTTAGACATTTTGACAGTCACTGCCGGTGGTTGAGATGGTGGGGTCTTTGGCGACTAGTTTTATAGCCCCATGCAGGAGCGGACTGGCCATTGGGAATACCGGGAGTTTTCCCGGTGGGCCGGTGCTGTGCGTGGGCCGGAGGGCCAAAAAAAAAAAGTGTACTGGCCCACATTTGTAAGTGTTCCACCCCACTGGGCTGGGCTGGGCCGTTTTGATAGGCTACCTATGTTCTATCTATCAGATAGTTTCACTTTCACGCATCAGGCCCGTAGCAGCTGTCACTGCGCAGTGAACGATCAGGAGTGAGTGACTGAGAGACCTAGCTGGCAGTTGCTTACAGATGGATAAACAAGCTCCAAAGCGTAAAGGCGTTTTTGTATAGTTTGTGTATACAGTATACAGTATTGTAGCGAGCCCTGGGTTTAACTCAGAGGTCGCGCGGCTGTGGAGAAGAACGTGTTGCCCACATTCTGTTACTGAGTTTAGGCTAGTTAGCTAGCAGGTTTATTGTGTTGGGTGCAGTCACTTTTGCCTCCACTTGCTGTTCAAATAAATGTTGAAAGAAAAAGTTAATCTGTAGACAGTTCTGTTTCATATGGGTGTTGAGAGATGTATCCATATATTTAGTCCCTAATTTAGCTCTCAAAGTGCACCAGATTGATGCTTTTAACTTCAACATTTAAAAAAAAATCTTCCCGGGGGAATATGCCCCCGGACCCCCCTAGAGGAGGTGAGGTCCACCACCTGCCCACACCCCCCTGTTAAATTGTCTCACCCACATTGAAGGTGCTTCCTACGCCCATGTTTTATTCCATGCATCAAGTCAGGCAAATTGGGTCAAAATGTTATTGCATCAATGATCTGTTAACATTAAAATCAATAAATATATGCTGTAACTATTTTGCTCTAGGCAACTCAAGGGCTGCTCAGGTAATGTGATTACTATATGAATAATGGTCCAAAATAACATTAAATGCATAGGGTTTTTTGTTAAGTAACATACTTTCGTCGCCGGCCGGCCGGCCGATACATGCCGTGCATTAAGTGGGCCTGTCTGTCAATTTTTAATGCACTAATAGAACATAAGCATAAATTAGCAGTGAAAACAAAAAACATAGGCACGGCGGCCTCAGAATGTGTGTAAAACTGACATCCACATAGGGAGGGGTATCGTTAAGGCTTTAACGGTACTACTACTTTTATCGATAGCGCTTATGCTTATGCTCCAGGTTCAGTATCAACCACATCATAAAGTACGCGGACGATACAACAGTGGTGGGACTCATCAGGGACAACAACGAACAGGCCTACAGGGAGGAGGTGAAACATCTGACAGACTGGTGTAACACCAACAACCTGATCCTGAATGTCGATAAAACAAAAGAGATCATTGTCGACTTCAGGAACAAAAAGCACTGTCACCCACCACTCCACATCAACGGCACAGCAGTGAAGACTACAGACAGTACCAAGTTCCTGGGGCTGCATATCACAAGCACAGCTCCCCCCTCCCATCCTCACCACGTTCTACAGAGGAACCATAGAGAGCGTGCTCACCAGCGGCATCTCCATCTGGTCGAGAGACTGCAACGCTAAAGACTGGAAGTCTCTGCAGAGAGTGGTTAGGACAGCAGAGAAGATCATCGGAGTTTCTCTCCCTCCCATCAGAGACACCGCTCAGAAACGCTGCCTGACAAAAGCCCAGAACATGTTGAAAGACCCCACTCATCCTCACCATGCTCTGTTCTCCCTGCTGCCCTCCAGCAAGAGGTTCCGCAGCATTAAGAGCAGAACAGCCAGATTCTGCAATAGCTTTTTCCCCCAAGCCATCAGACTGCTGAACAGCAAGTAGACCAGTAACATAAAGATTACATTACGCTGTGTAAAGAGCACATATTTGTTATATAGAATGTCTATTTTATTTATATGTATAGTAAGTCTTTATATTTTAAACGCACACTTTATCTTTAATTGTATCAGCACCACGTCACTATTATTTATTTATATGTACAATTTTAGCAAGTTTTTATATTGTCCTGTTCCTGTAAGCCAGTACAACGAAATTTCGTTTTAATAGTACACTCTGTGTCTCGTTGAAATGACAATAAAGTATTTCAATGTCTATGTCTTATCGATCCGGTCCTTTAACATTACTTTTATCTGTTCTTTTGGAGAAAAATACAAGGTAAACTAACTAAACAAATTGCTTTTTATTTCAATGAAATACATAATATTTCACATCAAAAGAAACAACAATGTTTTAACAAATCGTATTAAATAATGTGATGACAGAACTGTAAACAGAATAGCTGAAACTTTAAGAAAATAAATAACTCAGTTTCCTCTAATCATTAACCCATGTTTGTATAATGTAGTTAACTCCGTGTGTTGCTGCTAGCATACATAACACCTGACATGGAAACGTTACTCGTGGATGGGGCCAAGGGCGCCGGAAGCGGGGGGGCCAGGGGGCCATTGGCCCCCCCAATTTACGGCCCTGCCCCACATTTTCGCAGCAGCGGATGCTGCGGAACACTGTACAAATCCCCTCTACTCTAAAGTCGCATCTAAAAAGAACGCCATCTGATCTAGCTGTGTATATTTTGTTATTTTTGATTGTTATATTCAATCTCATTAGCTACAGGCATTTTTGAAGCTTGTAAAGGGAAGAACACAGCTCGCCTCTCACTCGCCACTCTGCTCTTCCACAGCGCCGCTTCCCCTCCCTCCGGCCTCCGCTGACATTATGAATGTAAGGCATATAGTAATCATAGATAACACCGCAGGGTCCGTTACAGTTTGTTTTCATCTGATTTCAAATAAACAAAGTCTTGGCTTTCAGAATGTTAATAATAATAATTATTATTATTTCAATTTATATAGTGCCTTTCACGAAACCCAAGGACGCTTTACAATGGGAAGTAACAAAACAAAATGTAATAATAATCATACAGATACACAGGCTGAAGAAAACAAAACAGGAACAGGTTGCTGAGTACTGTATATTAGTTGAGGCCAAAGGCCTGAGTGAACAGATGGTGTTTGAGGTGTTTTTTGAAGGTGTCCAGAGTGTCTGCATTCCTGATTGCAGAGGGGAGAGAATTCCAGAGGGTGGGGGCTGCGACACTGAAGGCTCTGTTGCCAAATGTTTTCAGCTTGGAGCGATGGATGGAGAGCAGCCCTTTGTCAGAGGACCGCAGGTGACGAGAGGGGGTGTAGGGCTGAAGGAGGTCAGAGATGTATGGAGGGGCTAGGGAGTGGAGAGATTTGTAAGTTAGCAGGAGGAGTTTGTACTGGATGCGTGACTTGACCGGGAGCCAGTGAAGGTGGATGAGGGTAGGGGTGATGTGTTGCCAGGGCTTAGTGTGGGTGAGGAGCCTGGCTGCAGAGTTCTGGACGTACTGGAGCCTGTCCAGGGCTTTGCTGGTGACCCCGAACAGAACTCCATTGCAGTAGTCCAGACGAGAGGAGATGAAGGTATGAATTAATGTTTCTGCAACGGGGTCGGGGAGAGAGGGCCGGAGTCTGGAGATGTTTCGTAGGTGAAAGAAAGCAGTTTTGACAGTAGACCTGATGTGGGAGTTGAAGGTGAGGCTAGAGTCCAGAGTGACACCCAGGCTGCGAACCTCAGGGGAAGGGTGGATGGAGCCGCCATCGATGGTGAGGAGCAGATCTCCAACCTTCCGGAGCAGTGTTTTTGGGGCCACAACCATGAGCTCTGTTTTGTTATTGTTGAGTTTAAGTAGATTTTTTGACATCCAGGCTTGGATGGAGGCAGTTGACAAGTGACAGTGGGGGTAGCTGGGATGATGGATTGGTACTGATGTAGAGTTGGGTGTCGTCGGCATAGGAGTGGAAGTTGAGACCATGTCGGCGGATGATTTCACCGAGGGGGAGCATGTGGATGTTGAATAGAAGGGGGCCGAGCACCGAACCTTGCGGCACACCTTGGTTGACAGGGGCTGGGGGAGAGCTGGATTTTCCGATGGTCACAAACTGTTGCCTGTTGGAGAGGTAGGAATGGAACCAGGAGAGGGCTGTACCAGAGAGGCCAAGGTAGACGGATAGGCGGTTGAGTATAGTGTGGGAGACTGTGTCGAATGCGGCGGAGATGTCCAGGAGGATAAGGATGCTGACGAGGCCTGAATCGGCGGCTATGAGGAGGTCATTGGTTATTTTAATAAGGGCCGTCTCTGTGCTGTGGTTGGATCTGAAGCCTGATTGGAAGGGTTCGTAGAGCTCATGGTCGGACATATGATGGTGGAGTTGGGCAGCAACTGCTCTTTCCATGATCTTGCTAAGAAAAGGAAGGTTGGAGATCGGCCGGAAGTTGCTGGGGTCCTCGGGGTCGAGACCAGGTTTTTTGACGATGGGGGTGACAGCTGCTATCTTAAACTTGTTTCGGCCAATTCAGATGATAAATACAGCTTTTAACAGCATAATTACAAGCGGAGAACGGAGTAACTTGACGTCACAGCAAGCATAACAACAGCCGGTGTTTCTCCTGAGAGTTTTCCCCGTGAAACAAACGCAAAATTACACCAACACACACACGTATACACACACACACGTATACACACACACACACACACACACACACACACACACACACACACACACACACACACACACACACACACACACACACACACACACACACACACACACACACACACACACACACACACACACACACACACACACACACACACACACGCGAGCTTCCCCCAGACCAGTA